CTCGTTATCGTGCATACAGCCCGTTTCAACTTGTTGTCCGCTCTCGTGTTCCACCTCCTTCAGTCCTTCCACAACCTCCTGAGTCGTCCCTCACTGTGCTTCACGACGCGTTGTCCGACCACCTCCGTGCCTCCCGTCCTGTCATCACCCCTGTTTTGTCTGCGTTGGTCACTCACCTGACTTCACCCCTATTGTCTGTCTTAACCCTTGTTACCACTGTCGCTGGCTTTGCCTCTTCCCACCGCCTTGACTACGCCGCTCACCTAGTGAGTGGCCCTGCTTGTTCTCCGTCATCTGAGAAAGCTCCTATCTTTCCCATGGAGATCTCGGAGGACAGGCATTTCGAGCTTGGTTTCCTAGCGGCCGCTGTTAATAATCTTAGCGCCATGCTGCTTGCCCCCGAGGGGGATCCTGACGCTCTTGACATCCCGATCCCTCGCAATCACGCTGAGGCGCTCTCGCAACCTTGGTCCCCGTACTTGATAGCAGCAGAGGAGGCAACGATGGCATCTTATAGGTCCCCAGGCACTTACATCGACGCAGTCCCACCACCTGGATCACCACCAGTGTTCAAGGCGCGCTATGGGGGAAGATGCTTCAGTTACCGAGAGGGGGTGAAATCCTTCCCGACCTTCGCTCCCGCCCTGAAGATGAGTACTCTTTGGGTGTTGCTGCATATTGTAGCCCAGCGCGACTTCGACTTGCACTCCTTGGACTTTTCTACCGCGTTCCTTCAGGGGAGCCTACACGAGCAGATCTAGCTGCGTCGCCTTCCTGGCTTCACTGGCTCTTTCCCACCTGGGACCCAGTGGCAGTTGCATCGACCAGTCTACGGCGAGTCAGGCTCCACGTGAATGGCATGACACACTTCGCTCGACCTTTGCAGCCTTGACTATTTTTCGTCTGCTGACCCATCACTGTTCGTACGCCGTGGCTCGATCACGTTCTTTGTCTTGGTCTACGTCGATGATCTGGTGTTTGTTACTCCTGACCGACGCGCGCTGGCCTTCGTGAAGGAGGAACTACAGAGGAAACATACTTGGATTGACCTTGGTGAATTGCAGCACTACCTTGGCCTCCAGATCACCAATGATAGGGCATATGGTTGGTGCTCCTCCTCCCGACGCTTCTGTGCCTCGTAGTCGTTGAATGTTAGCTCGGCGAAGGCGTCGATGGAGACCGGCGTCTTTGGGGTGCACTCAGTCTGCTCCTCGTCGATGAATTGCCTACTGCACCCACAGATTCCTCGCCGGCCTGTCGCTCACAACCTCTAGCCTGAGGTACTTAACCATGGGCGAGATCTCGCGCAGCTCAAAGGTGGCCTCTAGCAGCTCCTTCAGCCCCTTCAGCATTGCAGTGCTGCAGCTAGAGGTGAGCACGTCATCAACCAGCACCCAGCACGCCACTCCGCCGTCACCAACCTTGAAGTAAAGAGCCTTGTCGACCTGGCTCTTCTTCCAGCCACTGCCGACCAGCAAGTCGTTGAGCGCCTTGTACCACAACAGTGGCGGCTAATTCAGCCCGTATAGGCTCTTCAACAGCTTGCACATCTGGCCGGTTCCGTCATTGTAGTAGTCCGGTTGGTACATGTACAAGACCCAGTCAAGCTTGCTTTGCAGGAAGACGAGCTTCATGTCGAGCTGTATCAGGTTGAGGTCGAGGACGTCGACGATGTTGAGGATGATCCTCAGCGCGACGTAGCTGCTCACCGACGTATACATCTCGTCGTAGTTGACGCCATACACCTGCGTGAAGCCCTTCACGACCAGCCTCGCCTTCTCCCGAGTGACCGTGTCGGCGACGTAGAACTTGGTCAAAAGCACACACTTGTTCTTTATGATGTTCAACCCGCGTGGGCGTTCGACTAGCTCCTGGGTGCCCATGCCGATGAGGCTTTGGATCTCCTCGTCTATGGCTGCCTTCACCGCCGTGCCCTTCCACCTCGCCAGCGCCTCCTTCACGGTCATCTTTGCGATGTCCCAGCAGTGTTCGGGGTCGCTGGCATATCGGAATAAAGCTCCGGCAGGTCGACGCCTTTCTCGGCATCAACGTCGTCGTTGTTGTACAACGTGATGAAGGCGGCATGCGGGAGGCAGACATGGTAGGTTAGCCGCTCAAGCGGCCCTTGAATTCGACCTGAACGCCGTGGTCTAGGTTGGTCGACCTGAACCTCCACCACATCGCTGTCGGTGGACTCCTCAGCGCCCGTTGTTGGTGTAAGGACCTAATAAACTCAAGCTAATAAGAATTAATCAAACTTAAAAGCTCTTCTCAAGGTCACCTCCAAGGGTCCATGGGTGCCTGCTACAAGACCAGCCCCTATCCTCGGGTCCAAGTTTGTAGAGAGAGGGATCAAGAATGACTTAGCTAAAACAGCAAGAGCACCTTGAACGTTGCGCAGTGTATCTTGCAGACCGTCGTTCGGATTAAGCTGAGACTTTGCTATATCAAAGCTCACTCCAAGAGCTTTAAAATAAACCAAGTTGCCTCGCAAAAAGTTCTGCCATGACAAAGTTATGGCTCGGATAGCATTTGCATAGCATTAGAGTGCTAACGTACTAGCGTTGACTCAGGTAGCATTCCGTTGTCGTATCACGTAGAAACGAAATACCAGGAAGGGAGGAATTTGCTTGAATAAAATTGACTATATCCAGGTACAAACAGAGAAGGAATCAATAGTTCTAGTTAGCAAGGACCTTGGGAATCAACATAGGAACAACCAGGGGTGATCCCAAATAATTCCAAGCAACAGAACCAACCTGGCTGGACAAAACAATAGGTGATAGGTTGGTAAACAACCTCTAGTTCTGTTTTTCCAACTTGGGAAAACAACAACCAGGTTCAGGTCCTAAAAACAGAAGCTGTTTTGTCTTTGCCCAACCAGCCAAATGCTGGTTCCGCTGGTTTCCCCTGGTCCTGTAGCATGCAGATACAGACAAACAACATCCACTCTTCACTGAAATTGTACCCCTATAGGGCCTGCCCTGCTACTCTATAGTAACCTAAACAAAACAGTACAATTTGTAGTTGGATAGAACTGAATCTATAAATCAAGTCAAGCGAGTCGCAAAGCTTCCATCTTGGGTTCCTTTGCGAGCTCGCCTTTTCTACTTGCACTGTTCATATCGCATATATTGTTGTGCCAAAGTGCACATTATGCGAGTACCTGCAAATGCATCAAGCAAAAATTGCGAAAGCAAACAAACACACGAACATTCCATTCACACCCAAATGCATTCGCGCACGCATACTCGTACAAACAGATGGCAGGATGTCGTGCAATGTGAATTTGCACCCAACACCCGTCTGCTCCCCTCCATCGTCATTGGGTTTGCTGATCTCGACGCCCCGGTGCACCAAATTTGGCGTCCCTGCCGATTTCTCCCTTGTTGTCGGCTCCCTAGCTGAATGCGTAGTCGCAGACTTCTCCCCTGTGGTCGGCTTCGCAGACTTCCAGTGAGTCAGACTTCTCCCCTGTGGTACGGCGTAGTGCCCGGCGGTAGCGTCGACTTCTCCAGGCAGTTTCGCACCCAGACCGCTTGTTGCACGGTGAGGTGCCACCAGTGGTGCTACACACATATGTGTAGCAGCATTGTCCGCACCGACTCCACCACCGTACGCATCTCCCGCTCCACCATACCGTTCTGCTGCGGTATGTAGGGGTAGTTCAAGTTGTGGATGATCCCCTTGCCATCAGGCAGGCGATGAACTCCTTCCCGAGGAACTCCCCTTCCCGATCAGAGCGAAGCTTTGGCACCGACTTCGCCGTCTGCCGCTCAGCCACCACCAGCCACTTCTCAAACTCCCGCAGCACGTTGGACTTTTTGGCGGCCGGCCTCACCCATACCTTGTGGGTCTTGCAGTCCTTCAGCACCAGGAAGTATAGGCTGTCATCCTTGGCAGACCTCCGTAACGGCCCGCACAAATTGAGACCAATGGGGTACAACCCAAATTAGGGTTAGTACTTGTACCCATCCTCTTGCTAGTCCATTCATCCTTGCTTACACTTTTAGACATGGTTTCAAAGCTGGTTCTCTCCTAGGACCAGTTTTTTTTTAGGGTCCACCGAATTGCTCTACCCCACACGTCGCGTCGCCTTGTTAGCGCCGCCTTGCCCTGCCCTGCGTCGCGCTGCCCTGGGCACTCCCCGCCTTTCGCCGTGACGCCCGCACGCACCCTGACCTACGTCGCGCCGCCCGCATACGCCGTGCTCTGCCCGCACGCCGCTCGCCGCCGCCACCCTGCCCTGCCCACGCACTGCTTGTTGTCGCGCCGCCCTGCCTTGCCTACTCGCCGCTCGCCGCCGCGTCGCCCTGCCCTGCCAGCGTGCCGCACGCTGCCGCGCCGCCCTGTCTACCCGCGCGCTGCTTACCGCCGCGCGGCCCTGCCCTGCCTGCGCGCCGCTGACCGTTGCGCCACCCTGCCCTACCTGCGCGCCACCTTGCCCTACCTGCGCGCCCCTAACCGCCGCGCCGCCCTGCCCTGCCTGCGCGCCGCTCGCCACGGCGCCGCCCTGCTCTGCCAACGCGCCGCTAGCCGCCGAGCTGCCCTCCATTGCCTGCGCGCCGCTCGCTGCCGCGCCGCCCTGCCCTCCCCGCGTATCACCCTGCTGGCTGTTGCTCTGACCGGATCTGCCTGCGCGTCGCCCTGCTGGCTGCCAATCTGCTTTGGCTTGCCTAGATGCTGCCTTGATGCTAGCGCGCCTATCTGCTTAGCCCGCGATAGCTACTCTCAGTGTACTCTCCTTTGATGCAGAGGGCTGTCCGATTCAGTTCGACGTGTGGCTAGATGACCTACAGTTGTAATTACTGAGCGATTCTAGAGACGGTGTCTCACTGTTTGACCTCATGTCTGGAGCCTCTCTCTTCCCTTCCGCCACAGCTGACAGTGCGACTCGCTCACAGTGGCTTACTCGTGACGCTGCTGCTCGCCTAACCGTTTGCAACCACCTGCCATTAGCCGAAAGCGCTCACTTTGGCCAGCACAAGACTGCTAGTGCCATGTACGATGCTGTAGTCGCTCGTTACTCCTCTTCGGCCACTGCTGCTCTAGGCCACCTTATACTGCCCTACCTGTTCCCCGAGCAGTCCGCCTTTGCCAGACTCGCCGACCTTCACTTACCTTCGCACTAGTGACACTCGCTATCGCGCCGCGCTTCCCTGTGAGTTTCTAATCAAGAACCCTCCTCCTATGTACATCACGCTCTACTTCATCGTCACCCGCCTCCCTGACTCTCTTAGCATACTCAGGGACCTCCTTCTTGCCGTCGACCTCACTGTCGACCTGCTCGAGAAGCACCTCCTTGCAGCTGAGACTAGCATAGTCGCTGTAGGCGCTTCTCGTGGCACTCCTCGCACTCCCTCCTTTGAGGGGTGTTCCCCCTCCCCCCTTGTTCCCTATGTCCCTTCTGTTGGTGCTGTTGAATTCCTTCGTCCTGAGGAGGTCGGGGCTGCGTCTGCTCCTATGGGAGTCTCCGCAGTGGCAGGGGCAAGGGAGGCCAGGGTGGTGGGGGTGGCAGCGGTGGAGGCGGTGGTGGGGGCGGTGGAGGCAATGGAGGTGGTGGCGGTGGGAGTGGTGGTGGGAGTGGAGGCGTTGGTGGCGGCGGTAGTGGCAGCGGTAGTGGCGGCGGTGGCGGCGGGAGTGGGGGTGGCGGGAGTGGGAGCGGTGGCGGGAGCAGTGGTTGCGGTCGGGGTGGAGGTGTTCTAAGGGGAGGTTCTTGCGGTAGCCAGAGGCAGCAGCACCAGCGTCCGAGCGAGACCCCTTTGCCCTAGCAGCTTTGTGAGTGGTTTGCTCAGCGTGGGGCGTCTGGGGGTAGTGTTCGTTGCCCGTATGTCATTCGCACAAGTGGCCGCACTGGTTAGATATGCGGGAAGCCTCACACCCAGTACCGCTGCTTCTCCCATCTTGATGACGCCTTTTGCGCAAAGTTTCTCGACGCGACTGAGCTCCCCCGCGGGGCAGAGCTGCTTAGGCAGGGTTTGGTTATCTTTGCTCTTTATTATGATGCTATTGTTACTGCCATGTATGCGTTTACTATTAGTGCTCAGGGTGACTGTTACTTGTGTATGCCGCCGGATCAAGGTATAGAGGATGCTGCTCTAGGTGCTAGTGAGTCTTCTCTCCCTGGTAATGTGCCTGCTGTGGTCTTGCGCACCTTCACGCTTGACTCAGGTGCTTCACACTGTTTCCTTTGCGACAGTACCACTGTCACACCACTCCCTGCACCGGTTGCTGTCAGCGTGGCTGACCCCTCAGAGGGCCCAGTTTTTGCCCGTTCCTCCACTGTTCTCCCGTGTCCGGCGGTTCCGTCCGGGTCACTCTCAGGTCTTCACCTCCCCTCGTTCTCTACAAACTCGCTGCCCTCCAGGATGCGATGTTCACTATTACCAATCCTGGGGGCCAGCGTGTGTCGATCTGCACGTGTACACGAGCGGGCCGTCACCTGGCCGCGTTTACCCGTCGGCCCGTCGGCCTGGGTCGAGTCTGTACATACTAACTACTGAGCCTCCTCAGGTAGCAGCTTCTGCGTCCGCGTCAGGTCAGCTTGCGCCCCCCTGCTCGTGTCGCGCCCTGTCGCACCAGACTCTCCTTTGGCACCACCGCCTTGGTCACCCCTCCGTACCACGCCTTCGTGGCATTCACTCTCATCTCCTTGTCTCTAGTCTTCCCTGGTCTCTGCCTCCCCTCCCACCCTTGCCTGCCCCGCCATGCCTTCTATGTGTCGAGGGGCGGCAGCGCGCCGCTCCTCACTCCTCCTCGTTTCCCCCGATGAACAGAGCCACGAGTGATACTCTGCTGATTGTTGACGACTACTTGCGTTACACCACGGGCGGGAGGGGGGGGGGGGGGGGGGTCCCTGATGTTTTGATCCCTTGGATCCGCACAATCCGTCTCCAGCTCCGCGAGCGGTTCAACACAGACCGTCCGGTTCTGCGTGTGCACTCTGACAGAGGTGGTGAGTTTTTTTCCAACCTCTTCCGGTCGTGGGGAGGGCATCACCCAGTCGTTCACGCTTCCGGCCTCTCTACAGCAGAATGTGGTTGCTGAGCGCCGCATTGCCTTAGTGATGGAGGTCGCTCGTACCTCCATGATCCATGCGGCTGCCCCCCATTTTCTGGTACGCAGCGTATCAGCTCAACCTCTGGCCCTGTGTCTCCTTGCCAGAGACCTTGCCGATACTGCGTTGGACGGGGGAGGTTGGCGATGCGTCGGTGTTCCAGGTCTGGGGATCTCGTGCCTTTGTCCGCGATACCTCCGCGGACAAGCTGTCCTCCCGCGCCATTCCCTGTGTCTTCCTTGGCTTTCCCCCTGATGCGCGTGGTTGGCAGTTTTACCACCCCACTCTGCGCCGTGTCCTGCTCTCTCAGGACGTCACGTTTGACGAGTCGGTTCCCTTTTTACCGTCTCTTTGCTTACCGCACTGCCCCTCTCACCCCCCCTCCGCTCGTGTGCGCACCAGGTCCTCCACCGGTAGACCCCCTCTCCCCTCAGGATCCTGCTCCCTCCGGTGTGTCCCAGGTAGACCATGTCGAGCTTGTTGAGGTAGCTGTCGACTCTGGGGTTGCTGGGGGTGGTGTTGCTAGGGGTGTTGCGCCAGGGGGTGCTGAGCCTGAGCGTTTGGAGCCTAAGGTTGTTGAGACTCGAGTTGCGGAGTCTGGGGGTGCTGAGCCTGGTGGTACTGTGTCTGCTAGAGGTCCTACGCTGCCTCGTCAGGACGGGAGCCGCTCTCTCTACTGCAGGTGCGTGAGCGGTTTGCTAGGCACACCCGCCTTTGGAGTGGCGCTTCTGGAGCTGCGGGCCTTGCCACTGGAGACACTGCTGCTGGAGGCACTGGGGCTGGAGGCGCTAGAGCTGTCGGCGCTGGTGGTGCTGCTGCTAATGGAGGTACTGGAGGTGCTGGAACTGCTGGTGCTGGCGTTGCTGGAGGTGCTGAAGGTGCTGGAGCTGCTGGAGCTGGTGGTGCTGCTGGCACTGGAGCTGGAGACTCTGGGGCTGGAGGTGCAAGCAGTGGGAGTGCTGGAGCTGTTGACACTGGGGCCGGAGGCACTGTGCGGCCGCGAGTGTACTTTGTTCCACTGCTTTAGCATGTTCTTGATTTCCCATTTTCTAGCGGCCTTACTCCTCCCTTACTGTGTCCACCGTCTGATCAGTTGCAGTTACAGTTACAGCCAGCCGCCCTACTACCGACTCGTTCTCCTTATACTGAGCTGACAAGAGGTCTTACAGATCGTCGTGATCTTGCGTATTGTCCTGCCTTGCCAGTTCGTCCTGTTCGGACTGGTCGTTATGCTTCGCAACCGCGTTCTGCTCATATCCCCCGCACACTTCTATGGCACTTCGTCCTTCCTCTGTTCCACAGTGTGTCCCTCTACCGTCTCCTCCTACGTCTTCTATTGCTAACGGTCCAGACCCTGCGTCTGACTTGGTTTGTGCTGCAAGTCCTACTGTCTCACATCTTCTCGCCACTGTTGTAACCGACCCTTCATTTGAGTCTTCTGCCACATCTGCCCACTTGCTGAGCTTGTCGACTTTGCTGCCGCCTGTCGTCTAGACTACGCCACTAGTCTTGTTGCTGAGTCTGAATCTGACTGTCCTCCATCCGTTGGGGGTGAGTGTGCTCTTGGCATGGACGTCCTTGAGGACAGCCAGGAGGATTTTGAGTGCTTTGCAGCTGCTGTACCTCATCTTGTGTCCATGCTGATTGCACCTGAGGGAGACCCAGATGCACCAGACATCTCAACCCCAGGCTCTTACTCAGAGGCGATTTTGGGTCCCTACTCCTCTCAGTGACAGATAGCCATGGACGCAGAGATGGCATCCCGGAAGTGTCAAACATTTATGCTATAGTCTTTCTAGGCTGTAGTGGGGTAAACAGTATGGGGTACAGTTTTCTAGTGTTACATATTTGTACCCAACTCATTTCTTAGTCCATCATTCCTCATTCTCTTCACAGGAAGTCCACAGGCACTTACGTCGACACAATTCCCCTTCCTAGGGCGAACATAGTCGATGGCATGGGGATTTTTAGGGTGAAGCAGCCGCCGGGTTCTCCGCCCGTCTTCAAGGTGCGTTACCCTGTACCTCATCTTGTGTCCATGCTGATTAAACGTGAGGGAGACCCGGATGCAGCAGACATCTCAACCCCACGCTCTTACTCAGAGGCGATTTCAGGTCCCTACTCCTCTCAGTGGTAGACAGTCATGGACGTAGAGATGGCATCCTGGAAGTCCAGACGCACTAACGTCGACACAGTTCCCCCTCCTAGGGCGAACATAGTGGATGGCATGTGGATTTTCAGTGTGAAGCGGCCGCCGAGTTCTCCGCGCGTCTTCAAGGTGCGTTACGCTGTACCTCATCTTGTGTCCATGCTGATTCAACCCGAGGGAGACCCGGATGCACCAGTCATCTCAACCCCATGCTTTTACTCAGAGGCGATTTTGGGTCCCTACTCGTCTCAGTGGCAGACTCCCATGGACGCAAAGATGGCATTCCGGCAGTCCATAGGCACTTACGTCAACACAGTTCCCCCTCCTAGGGTGAACATAGTCGATGGCATGGGGATTTTTAGGGTGAAGCGGCCGCCGGGTTCTCCACCCATCTTCAAGGTGCGTTACGCTGTACCTCATCTTGTGTCCATGCTGATTAAACCCGAGGGAGACCCGGATGCACCACACTTCCCAACCCCACGCTCTTACTCAGAGGCGATTTTGGGGCCCTACTCCTCTCAGTGGCAAACACCCATGGACGCAAAGATGGCATCCATGAAGTCCACAGGCACTTATGTCGACACAGTTCCACCTCCTAGGGCGAACATAGTCGATGGTATGTGGATTTGCAGGGTGAAGCAGCCGCCGGGTTCTCCGCGCGTCTTCAAGGTGCGTTACATTGCACGAGGCTTCAGTCAGCGATAGACTTCTTCCAGACCTTCTCCCCTAACCTAGAGATGACCACTCTTCAGGTGCTGGTGCACGTTGTCGCTCAGCGTGACTACGACCTTAACTGTCTTGACTTTAGCACACCTTTCTTCAGGGCAGCCTGTACGAGGAGATCAAGCTGCGCGGCTCACCTGCCTTCACTAGGTCGTTTCTTGCAGGTACCCAGTGGAGCCTTCGGCGGCCAGTCTTCGGTCTCTGCTAGGCACCTCATATGTGGGACGACACAGTGAATACGACGCTTGCGGCCCTTTGGTTTGCTCCTTCAATTGCTGACCTGTCGGTGTTTCTACGCACCAACACTTCGCTGCCGCCATTCTACATCCTCGTGGTTTACAAGCCTACAAAAAATTCAGGGGAGGTCAAGAGGCCAAGAAAAAGCCTTTAGAAATTATTTAGGTACCTGGGAAGTTGGGCAAAGTGCTACGGAGCGTAGAAAAGGGTCGTGCGTTGCGTGGAGTTAATATTCTCTCCCCGCAGTACAGTGTTAAGGCTCCCCGTTGCCCACAGGTGAAGCCTACACAGCTGCCAAGGCTTAGAGGAGACATACAGGCTCAGGAGAAATTATACAAGCCTCGGAAAAATCCTCCTACCCCCAAGGTGAAGTTGGAAAGCGTTGAGTCAGGTATAGGAAAAAAGGAAGGTATTAAGTTTGATGTACCCTATGATCCTATTAACAAGACCCAGTTTTCAGCAACCATGGTGGACGGTACGAAGCTTCCTATCCACGGCGAAGCATCACTGCAGCTGCATATAGGTGCGTTGAGGTGGAAG